GAGAAAAAAATAGGAAATTGGGCTTCAATTGTGCACGACTCATTGAAATTAGATACCTGTGCTAGTTCATTGAAGACAAAGAAGTAACTATATGGAGAGAAAGAGCTATTGGTACAACAAAGGCATCAACATAGAGTGATGAATTCATCTGTATATTGCAATTTAAAACATACACAAGATAGTTAGAAAGAAGCATTTTCCAACAAGCGCCTTCAAGAAGAAAGGAGCTATGAGGAATGGAGCAGATATCCCTCTGAAGACTAGCATCAACCAGTCGAACACTAGAGTTTGTGATGTTCTCAACAAAGAATTTCCCATCTTTTGTGACCAAAGTTGTGCAATTATTATCGCATACTAGTTCATACCCTGGCTCACCACACTCAACAGGATCACTATTTAATCGAAAAGGGTATGTAATACTGAGGTTTCCACAAGAAGAAAAAGGGAAGCAAGGCTTGTATTTAGCTCTAGCCATACAAGCATCAGGAAAGAAAGAGAAAGCAAGGACCATGAGGTTGAAAAGTACTTCAAGTTTTGCTCTTAACATCCTAAGGCTGGAGCAGGAGAGAAAACTAATGAGAACAAAAAAAAAAAAATTTCTTTATATGTTTAGCAATTAGCACTTCAATTCAAGGTGGGTAATTCTAAGAGGCAATAAAGCAAACATCTTCAATGCATTCTTCCTCAGCTGTTAAGATGAACATATATAGAAAGCATTCAAGTTGTTGGAACATGACTCTTGCATCCCATAAGTTAAAAAAATCCATTATTCTCAATGGAAGATTGAAAATACTTTCCATCAAGTTGCAGTCTAATCTAAACTAGTGGAGTAAAAAATGGCTCCTGATTCCCGATTTTAAAACTCTATCAATATTTCTATATTGGGCATTCTCTAATCATAGAATCGGACGAGGCTTCTGAGCTGGGACCCGACGAAATGAAAGGTGTCTTTTAAAAATAATGGATGAAGAATGTCAAATTTAGTCCCTACGCTTACGAGAGGATTTCAATTGAGTCATTAATCTTTAATTGAGGTCAATTGGCAAGCAATTCAAAGAAGGGCTAAAAACATATTTGAACCTTGATCAAGAGATCATAGAAGTGGAGGTACCTCTATAACATAATTCATAGAGAAAGCAATTTTTATGGTTCGACTTAAGATAGAATATAACAAATTAATCATTGATTTTAGAAGAGAAATGCCCCACATTTAATGGGCCTCTTTTATTAATAGTTATAGTTATGTAATTCGTATTATCATGTAAGACTACACAATACTTTTCCATAATTCATAACTCATTAGATTTATTAAAAACATAGAGGTATATATTCTTTAAAAAAAGATTATGCACAAAATGGCTAACGTTCTAAAAGATTGGATGCAAAATTACATTCATCCTGTTTGTAAGACACATGATTGAAATCATTTAAATGGAGAAAGTCAAGAATGTCCTGCTGGCTTAATCCCTTTGTAAGGGACTTCTCCTGTAAATTTGATGGTGTGAGTTGAGTCTCACCCAACGTTTAAAAAAGCAAAAAAATAGAGTCCGAAATTCAACTTCAAAGAAAGACAATAAAGAAATACGATAAAGGAACGTCCACCTTTGAAAAGTCAAAATAAGTTCTCGTCAAAATTTCTCAACTTGAACATCTTCTCCTTTCTCATTTTTGGTATTATGTATCCCAAACCCAAACCAAAACCCAAACCCAAACCCCATTGGATTTGGATTCAATTTTTCAGAGATGGAAAGCTTCTTCAAGAACGCTGTTTTTCTCTTCTGCTTTCTCTTGGTAGTGAAGGTTGCAGAGCTCCAAGCTGCCAAAGATGAATGCCAAACCAAAAAGTGCAACCACCATACCATCCGGTTCCCGTTTTGGCTAAAGGGACAACAACCGGAACACTGCGGCTATCATGGGTTTGAACTCTCCTGCGAAGACAAGCAGACTGTGCTCGAGTTGCCATGGAATGCAAAGTTGTTTGTGAAGCGTATAGATTACAAAGCAAAGAGGATTCAGTTATATGATCCTCAGGGCTGCCTTCCCCTGCAACTTCCCAATCTCAATTTATCAGCATCTCCCTTTCAGTACTTGAGACAAACTCCCTTCTCGTTCAATTATGCGGAGTCAAAGTACAGTCTTTTCAACTGTTCAAGGGAAGCAACTGTGGGTATTAATTATGAATTTTACGAGATTCCTTGCTTAAGCGTCCCAGGCTTCCAAGTTCTAGCTTTTCCTTCCAATTATACACATGCTTTTAGCTTGTTAAGTTGCAGGAGAACGTTACTCAACATATCAGAGACAGCGGTAAACGAAGAAATGTTGTATTACCAGACAGGGGATGTTCATTTGAGTTGGTCCCAACCAGATTGTAGTAAATGTGAAGAAGTAGGCAGCAAATGCAAGCTGAAGAATAATAATAGAACACAGGATGACACAGAGTGTTATGGTACCACCAAGAATCAAAGAGGTATGCTTTTACATAAATGTTATTATGACTCGCATGTGGATTCATGAATGATATTTTGGTCATTCCCAAACAAACTGACACTTTTTAGCCAGTCTAGACTTCAAAACTACAACCTTATACTTTTAACTATTCCACAATGTTATGAATACTCATTGCAATGCTCACTAATTTAGCTGTTTTAATTTTGCCTTGTTTTAAGTTGTTAAAATTTTTCCTGACTTTAGTTGTTCAATTGCCCTAGTGTTTGTTCTTTTGGTACTTTGGTTTTGACTTGCTTTTATATGGTATCTCTCTCTCTCTCTTGCTTTCTTTCTTTCTTTCTTCCTTTTATTTATTTATCTAATTTTGATTTGATAAACACATCAAGCTGCTGATTGTTGAAACGTTTTGCAGTTATGCGGAAAATGCTATTGGTTGCGGGCATAATCCTAGGTTTCGGTCTATTTGTAATAATCCTCATTGGACTTTACCGTGTGCACCACTCATATAGATCAAAGAAAGAGGGCCAACTCAAGATTGAGAAATTTCTGGAGCATTACAAAGCACTCAAGCCCTCAAGATATTCTTATGCTGATATCAAGAAAATAACAGATCAGTTCAGGGACAAACTAGGAGAAGGTGCTTATGGAACTGTTTTCAAAGGAAGGCTTTCTAATGATGTTTTGGTTGCTGTTAAGGTCCTCAACAATTTCAAAGCAACTGGAGAAGAATTCATTAATGAAGTTGGATCAATGTGCAGAATCCATCATGTCAACGTCACTCGCTTGATTCGATTTTGTGCGGATGGAAATAAAAGAGCTCTTGTTTACGAGTACATGCCAAATGAATCATTGGAGAAGTTTATCTTTGCAACCAGAAACCAAAGTCGTTCCCTCAGTTGGGAGAATCTTCAAGATATTGCAATAGGAATAGCGAAAGGAATTGGGTACCTGCACCAAGGTTGTGATCAACAAATCCTTCATTTTGACATCAAGCCTCACAATATCTTGCTAGACCAAAACTTCAATCCGAAGATCTCCGACTTTGGTCTAGCAAAGCTGTGTTCCAAAGAACAAAGTGCTGTTTCTATGATAGCAGCCAGAGGAACAATGGGATATATTGCACCTGAGGTACTGTCTAGGAACTTTGGAAAAGTGTCATATAAATCAGATGTTTATAGTTTTGGAATGCTATTGTTGGAAATGGTAGGAGGGAGGAAGATTATTGACAACACAGTGGGGAGTACAAGCCAAGTTTATTTCCCAGAATGGGTATATAATTGCTTGGAGAGAGGAGAAATGCTGGGGATTAGAATAGAAAATGAGGGGCATGCCAAGATGGCAAGAAAACTTACAATTGTTGGACTTTGGTGCATCCAGTGGCCCAACAGACCGACCATCAATGAAATCAGTGGTTCATATGTTGGAAGGAGAAGCAGACAGTTTGACAATGCCACCAAATCCCTTTGGCCATGTAGATGGAGCGCAGACAAGTGCCAACATCCCTAGGAGACCAACTAACAGAGAATTAGCAGTAATCTCTGAATTAGAATGATGGAAATTCTTTCTATTCTACACTTTTTTTTTAATGTTTTCTAAATAATCGTACTACAGAATGAAATTTATAGTAATTGTGCTAAAGTATGAAATTTTTAATAATTATACCATATGAATTCCCTAGTTGAAGGAGAGTTTCGATTTTTATTTTAATCTAGTAACAATTTTAGTTAACAATGCAAGGACAAGATATTAATCTCTTTGTTTCAATGAAAGGCTACAATCTGAAATGGATGCATCAGAAAAATATGAAAACTGTAAAACTATTAGAAGGCAAAATGTCCAGAGAAGGAAAGCAACACCAGGCATATGCAAAAATCTAAAATCACGACTTCACAAGTAAGGAGGAATTTACACAAACACATAATCGGGGAGCGCAGGGGATCAAAATTAATCCATAAAGCAGAAGTCTCCACAATAAGAGACGCACATACAAAGATAAGTTGTATAGAATTCCGAATTAGGGAGACCCAATATTGGGTCGGTACCAGAAACTCGATTAATTCAGATATTCACAACATCAACAGAAAATAATTGTAGAGCAAAAACTTAATCAATTTCTCATTTCGTTGTAAATAAATTACATGAAATTGAAAGGGACGAATATTGTACCTCAAAGATCAGATTACAAGCAATAAGGCACTCAAGAAATTCCTCCTTCCGCCAGCACCCAAGGCTCTGGGATCTCCTCCTTTTTTTTCTCGGCTCGATTTTTTTTTTCCGTCCGTCCCCTTCTCTCCGATTCTCCCTCTCTATTTATCCAAAAACTTTGAAAAAAACCTAAGACTTCCCTCAGATTGCTTATTCTCTCCTCTTTTTAGCCCTTTGATTGCTCCGCTGTTTTCTTCACCGTTGATTGGACGGCACAAAGTTGACCCATCCCTCTACCGACAAGCATTACTCTCTCTTCAACAAAAGCAAAGGGTGGGAGGGCTGCGCTTTGTCTGATGTGAGGTTGTCCGAGAACTGGGACCGTTTGGTCGGCAAGCGAACGGGAAAGGGAGAAGGGGAAACCAGATCTGGTTAAGGTTTCGCCGAGAATGGAGCCTTGGGCTCGACAGCCGTTTTGGGATCGATTTTCACTTCAGTCCGTAAGTTTCGAAAAAATGTCACATTAGTCCTCACATTTAGTCCATGTTGCATTTAAGTCCCAGCGAAACAGAACCGCTATTTAAGTCAGTAAATTTTCTTAATTTGGTACAAATCAACGTTATTTAGATTTAATCTTGATTTTTCTTTCAACAAATTCTTCAAGTTAATTTCTCACGTCATATTATAACTCAAAACTTTTAAATTTTGATTTAAAACATGAGAATTAATAAGAAATTAATAATTTAAAAAAATCAAAATTTTAGCAAAATTATCAAAAAAATACAAAGTAAACTATCGCGCCTTTTGCCTTCTAACTTTTGGAAATGGGAAACTAACTAGACTAAAGAAACCAAAACCCTCCACATAACAATAGACACCAGTGTTTATTTCTTGTAAGTTACAAGGTCAAGAAACCAAAATGAGATTGATTACAAAGTTGATGGACTGGGAAGGCACTCCATGTAAAATACTACTGACATGTTGCTAAAAGATAATGGAGTTCTGGCAAATGATTAATTTGATTCAAACCATAGTTTGCAATTCACAATTAGAAAAATGGCACAAGGAATTTGATATATTTTACAAGAAAAAAATTGAGTAGGTAATCTACCAAAGCAACAATACAGGACTATGACATAATACTCAATGCTACTAGCTGTGAATGTGCATTTACCTAGAAATACATTCGGAGTAGAGCATTATGATCTAGCATCAAGCGACATGGTTGGCGCGGTTGCTAGACTTATACTGCCATGATTTGGAGCTGGTGATTCGGAACGAACAAAAGTAGGCTTAGGAGGCATTTCAAGGAGCTCAATTTCACTTTCAAGCATCTCCAAGACTTTGGTCATGGAAGGACGAATGGCAGGTTTCATTTGTATGCACCACAAGGCAACTATGGCCATCTTCATCAGAACATTCTTTTCAACATCAGTAACATCTCCCAACTCTATATCCTTTCCTTGATCAAAACGTTCAGAAATCCATTTTGGGAAGTATATCTGACTTGATTGATCAGCATATGCATTTATGTTCCTTCTCCTTCCTACCATTTCCATCAACAACATTCCAAAGCTATAGACATCAGCTTTGTATGAGACCCCTCCAATATTCTTGTAGAATAATTCTGGAGCCATGTATCCTAGAGTACCTCTTACTCCAGTAAGAGATACAATACTGTCATCTGTCGAATACAATTTTGCAAGGCCAAAATCTAAAACTTTTGAATTAAAGTTCTCATCTAAAAGGATGTTGTGTGGCTTGATATCAAAATGTAGAATCTGCATTTCGCATCCTCGATGTAAGTATTCAATCCCCCTAGCCACTCCAAGAGCAATTTCAAACATTCTTTGACAGGTTAAAGATGTGTTGTTTTCACTAGAAAATATGATTTTATCCAAGGATCCATTTGGCATGAAATCATATACAAGAGCTCGTTTAGATCCCTCCACACAAAATCCGATCAGTTGCACCACATTAACATGATGAACCCTTCCAATGGTAGCAACTTCATTGATAAAATCTTGGCCATTAGCTTTTGATTTGTTCAATAATTTTACTACCACTAAATTACCACTTCGAAGCTTTTCTTTGAAAACCGAACCATAACCTCCCTCACCTAATTTATCTTTGAAACCTCTAGTCATTTTCTTTATTTTAGAATAGGAGTACTTAATAGGCATGAAGTTGTTCTGTTTTTGAAGGAACTCTTCAATTGTATCATCTGCAGACAAATGTCTCCTGCGAAACTTGTACACAATAACTGCAATCATGATGGATAGCCCCAGCAAAGTTCTTGCCAAGATAAGTCCACCTTATTACAAAAAATTAAGAACAGAATCACATCACATAGTTATATATCATTATTACCCACAAAGTGGTTCTTTTTTTTTTTTTTTCTTTGTATGAAATTGAGACTGACCTGTTACTCCAATAAATATGGGATTGGAACCTATTAGAATAACAAAATGACAAAGACATGTAAGCAGATAAACATACGGTACTAAGGAATGAGTATTAATTCCCATTAAAGATTGAATTAGTAAAGCATACCTATATAGTTGCGTTGGACAAAAAAGTAACCGTGACCTCCCATTAAATATACAAAGTTGATGAGTGCAGTTAACACGATTACCACTACAGCAGGCACAGCGTATAAACTGAAATATACATTCAGCACAAGATAAGCATGAAGAGATATATATCAGTATACGGTAAGGTGATGGATAAAAGAATGAAGAGGATTTGAAGACCATCAAACCGATT